TACTGTTACGATAAAGATACTAATTTAGCCGGAAATGTTTTGCGGGTCTCTGCTAGTAATGAGTATAACTGAATAAGTCCTATAAAATTTGACAAAACAAGGTCTTTAACCTCAATCAATATTTTATTGCTCCAAAACGTTAATATACACTAACTACATTATATGCATTTAAGATATATTAGATACTAAATTATACAAGCTGTTGAATTGTTCATATTAACGAAACATACAGACAAAACTATAATTGACCTTTAGCTTATATTTAAGTTTAACATAAGCTGCACTTGAAATGTATGTTAAAACGGATATTATTTATTTGACTGGTTGTTTTCTTTCCAAACGAATATATTCTGACATAGCATGATTGTAGTAGCATGGAGTAGCCGTCCCCTCAACGCATTGCAAAACTGAGTTTCAAAAGTTTCGCGCAAAGGTATACAAAAGGCTATATCTGCTTTGGCTGTCCCTAAATGTGAACTGACGGTATAAGGAAAGATGCTAGACAACATTACTAGCTCTTGTCTGATCACTAATGTGATCTGAATGTCATTTTTATAGTGCGCCCACGGCTCCAAAGGACGGAGTATGCTTTTGAACAAATGAATTCAAAGTTCGAGTACGCTAACCACTAAGTAAGTTTTGAGGTCGTCACGTGCACAACATTTAAATTCCTCAATTAGACATAATTGTTTTAGTTTGTCGAAACTATTGCAAATATGCATCGAATTACACCATCGATCAAAATAAACCTCTTTTTCATGGGCAAATTCCGTATAAGTTTGATTATCTTATTTGCAATAACCTCGAAACTTTTGGCGATAAGCCTCCGGTACTAACTCGTATGCTTTGAAAATAACTGCTTTAACCTTATCATAATTCGAACAATCTCCTAGAGAGAGAGAGTTGCATAAGCTTCTTGTGCTTTACCAGTTAAGACACTTTGTAATAATAATGACATTTTTTCGGTGGGTCATTTCATGGTTTGGGCAACCTTCTCATAATGTTGGAAATATTTATCTACTTCATTTTCATTGAACGGTGGTACTTTAACATATCGATTAAGTTCGAAGTTGCTATTTTGCCTTGGTCGATCGGTATTGAGTCTAATTTCCATTTCTTTCAGCCTAATTTCTTTTTCGGCTTTAATACGAGTTTGTTCTTTTTCGGCTTCAATATGAACCCGTTCGTTCTCTTTCTCAGCTTCAATACGAGTTTGTTCGAGCTCGATTTGTTTGAGTTTTAGCTGAATCTCTAATCTATCTTTATCACTCAACCCCTATTGGCTAGTAGATACACTAGAGTATTCCTCTAATGCTTCCTCAGGCAACAAATCATCATCGACTAGTATTTCGATAATGCGCTTTTTTAGTTCATTTTTTTTTACCTTTTAACTTCTAGTGTTAAAACTTTGGCAATTTCGAGCAATTCATTTTCGTTATATTTTTCTAGTTGTTCTCGAAAGGGTGATACAAGAATCCGACATGATGAAATCTTGTTGGCACTGATAAATATGAATTCATTTATGATTTAAATTATAATTTAGATCGAATCTTGACTCTGATTCAGATCTCGGATACGAGCCCCCAATTTATTATGTATTGAGGTTTTGAAATAGTCCGAAGCCGATATTTTAGTTAATTTACGCTATTTCGCAACAAGATTGACACACACTGTTTTCGTTTTTTACACAAATACGTTTTAATATATATATATATATAACAGTACAATTTACAACAGCAATTATTACGATTAGTTACCACAAGCAAAGTTTTATAAACAAAAATTTCACTAACTTACAAACAACATAAAATCTTCTTTCTAGTTCAGAGTCTCCTTGATATCCAGCGAGTTAACTTGAAGTCGATGTATGTATAATTGCCGAGAAGCTAGGCTAGCTTTGTCAGACACTGAATTGTTGGATCGTTGAAGTAAGATAATATTTTCATAAAACCACTAATATCTAATGAGAATCAAGTAATATTTTCGGAAAGATACTAACGTCCGATGAAAATCCACTGACGTTCGAAATTTATAACTGTTCCTGGTCAAATGTCGTAAATTTTCCGGTTGATAAGGGTTAACAAAATCACTAATAGCACACGGTTATAGCAAACTCCTAGCCAACCTTTTAAGCTCTCTTCTTTGGCGCGTCGTCTTGGCTGTTCTGGCTACGGAAATGGATATATTGTCAATTCTTACGTTCACAAATATTCTACAACCTTAGAGAATTGGCGGGAGTTTCGCAGTACGTAACTAACACTGTAAGCTAGGCACGTTTTTAAATATAAACTCAATCCAAACAAACGTTGACATTAAGATAAATATATAACAAATTCGTTATACGCAATACATATCTGACATTATAAGTTACGCATATTTCTAAATACAAACTTAATCTAAACAGCATTCATATAAAAAATAAATACATGAAAACAAATTCGTTACAGACGCAATTAATTTCAACCCGCAATTACAGTTTCAGATATGCTAATTTTTATGCTGACTGTGTTGGTTATTAGGCAAAAACACATTAGATAAAACAAAACAACTATTGCAAATCCTATACATGTAACATACAGATTTAAACTTATTAACTTGTTATCAAAACGAAGAGTCCATTAGATCCCAACAGCTTGGTCCCTGTTATTAAAATTTTGATCATTTAATAAAATTACATTGGTGATTACTTGTTGCAATTCATAAATTCAATATATTAAACATAATGATAAAAGAATGTATTATAATCCTTGTAGATAAGAATGAAATATAGTTATTGCTTATACCAGGTAGAATTTTAATTTCGCTCAAAGCATTTTATGTTAATTAACCCGTATATTTTAACTGAAGCAAAATAACTCAAAGTGCTCATCAGGTTTCGATGGCTAGAGGCAGGTATGTAGGTACATGTAGGTACACTGATGACAGTTTGTTTGTTGTTAAGAGCAGACCTGCACAATGTTATAACATTATGTGTAGTAATAGGAATTTTTAAAGTGCTATTTTAGCTGTAATTGGTACAGCAGTCGCCTACTATGCGAAAGGTTTCGAGTTTAAATCCGAGGAAATATATCGTATAAAAACGAAAGATACAACACCACTTCTGCCTTCTGTTCGACACAGAAATGAAACTCCGATCTTAGGCGTTATCAGCCCTCAGACTCGCAACTGACCACAACCCTATATAAAGGTGATATGGAACATTTCAATACTTTTTGAGGCCTGGTGGTTAGAGTGCTTGACTTGGAATCTGTGGGTTGTTGGATCGAAACCCGATAGTTGGCCGTTCAAAATTAGGGAAGGCGGCAGATAACCTAAGTAGGTTTGACAGAAGCAAACAAACACTATATTTGTTTTGTACTAGCAAATAAATGAGTTTCCAACACAGTGGCATAGCCTGTGGTTAGGGCGCTCGACTCGCAATGTGCTGGTTCCGGGATCGAAACCCAGCTCCGAATGTGCCACCCCTTTCAGCGGAAGGGGTGGCATTCTAATGTAACGGCCAATTCCATCAAAGGATGGTGGTGAGTGCTGTGGTTGGCTGTTGAAAATGAGGGACGGCGACAGATAGCATTGGTGACTTTGCAATAAACGAAAGCAAAAACACATGTAGAAAAGACCATATACAGCTTTCATGTTTTTCCTAGTTCTATCTAACGCAAATAGTAACGGTAAATAGTTAAACAAGTTCAGGCTATCGTGATTCTGAAAATTATTCAGAAACCATGTTTAAGTTAGAATGCGACCTTTCGACGTGAAGAAATATTGGACTAGTTGGCATTTAAGATGAGTAATGACTTAGAATGAAGTGCTTCTGTATACTTTTCTAAATATAAAAAAAACAATATGTATAGAGGGCATTTAAGTGACATTTCAAATCACTCTTTACACTCTCCAAGTGCCCTTTAATCCTAGAAAATCCTCAGATCTTGTACTGTAGTTGAAACAATTTAGAAGCTTTAATATAACATATTACCTCCACAAAGCGTTGACAATAATTTTGACATTATGGCACTGCAAGCATTGTTTAGTCACGTGACACGTTTTTTCTTACGATCTCAAATGAAACCACATGTAATCCTAATATGTAACGTTACAACATAAACCTGGGAAAGGAAAGTTTAGGAAATTTGATGGTCTGTTAGTGAAATTTAATTGTCAACAGTTACCTTCTTTCATGCTTAAAATTTTTTTACTTTCATTAATTTCCATCTACTTTTTAAACAACACATTTTCCTCAATCGAATTGCTTGTGAATCTATGACTTTGTTGGTTGAATCCCTTAGGAATCACTCAAAGAAATGTAAACAGAAATGCAATTAATATAGTAAATAATCTCACTAATTACTGTTGCAGTTCCTTATGCATTTTACATAGAAAATGAGTGATTTCACCTAATTTTTATCATTGTTTTACACTGGTTGTTGCATCATGCATGAAAAAAAAAACTATTCAGTATGATGCAATATGAGGATTCACCGGTAATGAACGGTATAAAAACAAATAGGTAATTTGTGACCTAAATAAGACAACATTTGAGTGCTGTTAATACAAACATTACAGGTTTGTATTTTCTTGTAATTACTTGCCAATCTATGAATCTATCTAGAGTTTAAAGTTTAAAAAGTACATGTACAATCAGTTACAGTTAATTAGGACTGGGGGTGTAGAGTTCCGTCTTATCTTGATTAACAAGAAAGTACATTGACACCGGTAATACATTTTATAGCTTTATTTCGTACGTGAGCGGTACAAATACAAGATATATACATTGTCTTAAATAAATACTGGCAAGAAAATTTATCTAATCGTACTATTATGTGCAATGAGTTATAGTCTGAAATATTAGTTAATAGACAAATGCTGAACTATAGTGACAGACAGAAATTCGGACAAATGAGAGAGGAGAAGGCGGGTTTACAGTCACTGCACATGCGTCGATTGTATTAGCTAGAAACAGCTGGTAAGGTTGCCGACTCTTATCACCAGGAAAGTGAGAGAATACTATACGTTGAGGAGGAAAGCCGGTAGGCAGGAGGATTTTTTTTTCTTTTATTTTTTTTTCAATAGCGAAGTGTTGCAGTGGCCCAAAGGCCTAACACGAGATCTTATTTCATTGAAAACTCGACTACTAAAAGCATCATTTCCGTCTAGTACCTCATGTTAATATCAACTATCCGTTTTCAAACAACCGCTCTTAATTCTACGCTGGTGTTAGACGTATAAAGCTTATCTCAGTTCTAAACATCGGGCATGTTCTATCGCCTTTAATTCGCGCTGTCTGTGTTCCATGTCTGGCACACTTGTTTCTCGGTTCCACAAGACACTCTCAAGCTAGTAAGTGTCGGTTCAAGGCAGCAAACTTTTCTCTTGGATACACCATGTCTGTGACTTACCACGATACTAAACCAGAAGGGATGGAACTTCTTTGCTGCGAACGAAGATTGAAAACAGAAACAAAGGCATATCAAGATCCCGTTTTGTGTACAGATCAGGCTTTACAAAGTTCACTTCGGTTAGAAGATAGATACACGATCTCTTCGTCCTATTTTAATTGTCTTCAGAAAGAACTCAAGCCTTATATGAGGAAGATTGTTGCAACCTGGATGTGGGAGGTAATGCATCCTTAGTTAGCTAAATTAGTTTGAAATTTAAAAAATTAATACGGCTTAGTGTTATTATTCTCGACAAGACCTATTCTAAACATTTATTTTGAGGGCTTATGATAGTTCTGATTCGTAGTGCTCCTATGTTTTACACACCCTCACCCATTATATCCTGTAGTGTTCACGAAAAGAGTAGTTTGTTATTTAGCTACCTACATTCGCACGACATAATCACTGCTTTAACGTATATTAATATTCATATTAAAATACTAGACTATGTGATGTTACTAGTTGATACATCTACTCGGTAACCAACCAACGGTGTTGAAAGTTATAACTTGTTTTTTATTTCTGTAAAATTGAACTATATTTTTAGACTACATAAATTCGATAAACTGTGGAACATTGCTTTTGACCTGAAGTGTTCTCCAGTTTAACGAATTTTTTTATCGCTCATTACATTGTTGCCCGATGAAGGCTGCGGTAAGACGGCCGAAAGCTTGTAAATAAAAATGTTTTAACGTAGAGAAAAGTCCGTGTATAATTCTACGTGAGTGAATTATTTGTTATAAGCTGAAATATATAAAGTAATTTGTTCAACACTGATCTCTTCTAACATCCTGTAATTATTCGACAGGTAATTCAACAACTAACAGAAGTACTGCTTTGCGTATATAAATACGTTTATTCAGATTATTACAAAGACAAGATGTTTAACAGAATGCTATTATTATTATATGCCAAAGTTTCATATAATTCAGTAAACATGAAGAGTATAAAATAAATGGATCGCTTACTGTTAGGTTGCTGTGAGGTTATTTATATAACTGTTTTTATTCGATGACGAGGAACCCACTTTGAGACTAATAATGGTTGGAGACGGCTTGAATGGGTAATGAAGAAAAACTTTAATATAAGTTATAACCTTGTCGAAACGTTGTACATTTGCTGTTATATTAAACTCATATTAAAGTTTTTCTTCATTACCAATTCAAGCCGTCTCCAACCATTATTATACTGTTTTTATATACGACGTTTCATTGTCAGTAATGAAAGAAAAACGATGGGAAGGTAACTATTTCATTTTTGCAACAAAACAGAAAATAATAAATATAATGGCGGTTAAACATAAGTTTTAGTATGAAGATCTGTCTTGAACCATAAAATGTTTTTATTTGCTCTTTTTTTATGTATGTATATATTTCGTCTATAGGTCTGTGAAGAAGAACGATGTCAACAAGACGTTTTTCCATTAGCTATTAACTGTTTGGACAGGTTTCTTTCTCTTGTGAAAATTAGAAAAAGTCAACTTCAACTTGTAGGTGCAGTGTGTTTGTTTTTAGCGTCTAAGGTCCGGCAAACGAGATGCATCTCGGCGGTAAAGCTCTGCGGCTACACGGACAACTCTGTCACATTGGAAGAACTTCTGGTAAGCAGTATTTGCACTAATAAGAGTCGTTTTTCTTTGCTGATTCAACATACACATGATATAATATGCATTCTTTCGTGACAAGTAAGGAAATTATTATGTTGTTGCGTTTAAAAATTATTTACACGTACATTGAGCGTCATTTCTCAAAATTTTAAAAAATCTTTATTTTGCTTGTAATCTCGTTAGCTTAGGTGGTCCATCTTTTAAAACTACACTGATAGTAAAGTGTTTAATTAAATTTTGCATATAACTCAGTAGCACTTTGTGACATGTGCAGAAAGGGATTTAAAATCGGTACCGGGGGTTATAGGGTTAACAACACATCTTATTATCAAAGTAAGATGGTAATTGACCACCAGTAACCATGAACTTAAATTTTTTGTTATGAACGCCCAGATTTCTGGTGTTAACTTTGATATATCATTACAGCAAGAAGATACGCCATGTTTCTTCATATCTTGGGACTTTTTCATGTTACATGAAGGAAAATTGGTTTCTTAATGAACCAGGCCTCATCAATAACCTTCTGCATACAATGTCTACTGAAGGGAAAATCAGTAACAAAACTACATTTCTTAAAGTAGTTATTTCTAACTATAAAACAATGAGTATACTTTCTTGAAGTAAATAAGCGTAATAACAACACTGTACTAAATAATGACAAGCATACTTTATTAAAAATCCAAAACAAATACATATTTTAGTATGTAGACCATATTGTTTGTTTCATTTCTAGCCACGACATAACGACTCATAATATGTCTTGAGTTTTCAAGTACAAACTTTTAGCTCATATCTCTGTTATCTCTTGACCGATTTGAGATCTAATTACAGTTTTGGACTCAGGAGATTAAACCCTTTCGATTGATGTATTTGATCATGCCTAAGGTCTCATAGATTAATTTACTCTAATCCTGCCTAAAAGAATTTGTTTGAGGGTAGACTGGTAGATATCCAGATGCGTAATAAAAATCGAATATGGTATACGCGCGTCCCACGTTTGTCTTTCAAGTACGAACTTTTAGCTCATAGCTCCATCTCTTGACCGATTTGAGATCTAATTCCAGCCGCGGCTATTGAGGATTCCTTCTTGTTTTAGTTAGCGTTATATAAAATGGAGTTAGTTTAACTTAACTTCCTAATATGATAATTCTGAAAGCAATACAGTTTAGCCTCCCAGTGGCACAGCGGTATGCCTGCGGACTTACAACGCTAGAAACCAGGTTTCGATACCCGTGGCGGGCAGAGCACAGATAGCCCTTTGTGTAGCTTTATGCTTAATTACAACCAAATAATAAAGTTTAAAATAGATCTTTGGATTTAATTGCTTCTGCACGTTGTTCTTTACAGACTAACCTGATTAGAATATGAACCATGTTCGTACTTAGTGATATTTTCAAGACTTTGTAAAATGATTGATGTTTAAATGAACTATGTATGAAAACATGTGTTTCTCACCAATTAACATGATTTTTGTATACCACTTAAAAATACGCGAATTTTAGCTTTGAAACTAATATGCACAACAGCTATAACCTACACTTAGCTAATCGTAATTGGCTGGGCAGCCTAGGCTTTTTTAATCTGAAGAGTGCATGTGCAGAAACTGACATAGGTTAATACGTTATTTGTCATGAAGAGATACGTTCAAGGTCAGTGTTTCGGTTATTAGTACCCGTTATTTAGAATACACGCGCCAGAGCATATAAGCAACTGAATAAATATTTCTCTCAACTTCTGTGCTGACGTCATCACAGACTAACTGGCTCCTCTTATTCCTGATCAAGCTTATGCCCCACGTACAGGCTGCGTTTTATATTATAGCCCCTACAGCGCTAAATCGACTGTGATTAATATTACATCCTCTGTGTCATCTATATTCCACGTTATTAGCAATTTGTAAACTGGAAAGAAAAGTGTTACTTTTAGCAGTTATAAAACATTCTTCACTAAGACGTGTTAAGTGAATCACTTTATTATCCCTTTACTCAGCATAACGCTCAACACTTGAGAATTTTTTTCTTCACTAAGCTTGAAATTCGTTTTCACCGGGAATAGATGTTACTGGAACAGAAACTGCCCATCAACAAGCAAGTTTGAAGTATCCAAGAAACCTACATATATCGATAACATATAGATCTATGAATAGGTAAAGATAAAAACTTGAATAGACTGGCAAAATATAACATATATGATTTCAAAATTAAGCTTAGCGGTATTGAAACCAGAAATTCCATGCTATTAAATCAGTGACTATGACATTTGAGTTACACGGTTGAATATTTCGCTCTTTGTAATCTTAAAAAAAAAAGAGAAAAAAAGTTTTTTCTGCATGAAACATTGTTTGTTGTTAAGAGTAATGCTGCATGATGGGTTATCTGTTTCATGCCCATCGCAAGAGTGAAACCCCGAATGTTAGCGTTATACGCCCTCAAGCTTATCGCTGAAAGGCTTACATGAAACAACTTTAGATTCTAGTCAAAGTTTCCAATTGTGAACATTTATATTATGTATACAGATAATCTAATTATTTGTAATGAAAAACGTCTCGTGCTTTAGCTAAAATATGACCAGCATACAGTTGCAAAATCTTAAGCTTTATAATTGTAAGCGATTTTGGTTGGTTTAAAGCATTAGTCCGATATACTAAAAAGCTTTAATAATCCAATGTTAGGTTAAAAAACAACAACAACTGAGATTAGGAAAATGATATGAGCAAACAAATTTCTTTCCATGTGATTTTATCGTGTGAAAAATTGTCACAATGAAAACCTGACAAGGCAATATTATATAAATATAATATTATTTTATGTTATGCACTATACAGCTGCGTAGAGGTGTAAACTCTAATGTTGTTTGATAAAGCTTCTGCACGCCTGATGTTAAAGTTCAGTAGCTAGACATTGATCCTTGGTACTAACTAGTATAAGGATCAAATAAAAGTGGTAAGTGTATAACTTCCATCACCTTAATGAATACAACGTTTGGAAATTTCCAGATGCTGTTGTTCTTTTTTCGTGTTATTCTTGGTTTATTGCACAAAAGCATCACTTATTTCGAGACGCAAATCCTTTGATAACATAGGCCTGCGAT